CGGGTGCTCCCGATGAAATTGAGAGATCGACTTGTTCACGTGCCGAGTTTCCAATCGCAAGTCCTATTTCGTCGCTGGGGTCGTTGCCGTTGGTCTCGGTTCGTATTCCTCTGTTGCTGATTTTCCGTTGCAATGCTTTTTTTACGGCTGGCTCGCAGGGCCTTATACCAACCCCCTAACTTTCCGGAGGACCAGGGTGCACAGTTGTGCTTAGAGTCCTTCACTGGCACTCGAACGTGGATCAGCCACCCCTAACATGGGGAACAGACGCTGTTGTGAGCCGCTCCTCCTGGAGAACAGACGCTCAGGCTTGCCGAAGCAACCCCCTCCCCTTCCTTGTCAGCTTATGACCAAAGTTCTCACCGGGGGTTAACCCGATCTTCCCTAAGGTTGCTCACAGTTCCTGGCAGGTACCACGGGGAGGTAGAGATAGGAGTTGCTGGGAAGAGGCTAGTGATATCAATGGTATCTGTATTGTGCATTACCCAGAATTTACCCAGCCATGCACCAGGAGCACAACCAGCCGTTGGAGTTCTTGCTGTTCAACGATCGGAATCGGTTCTGGAGAAGAGTTGAGTAGCTGGTGACCGGAAAAGTCGACCGGGAGCTTGAATCGGGCGTTTCCACTCTGAGTTACGAAGGTTGGCTCTTCCCTGGATTCTCCTGGAGCACTTTCCGTGTGTACTTCGTAAATGTTGAGCGTCGTGAGCTGGTCAACTGCCAGTACTGGAGTACCAGAAGATTCCGTTGTCACATCCAGTCGCTGGAGTTCTTGCTGTTCATCGATCGGAGCCAGATCTGGTGTGGAGCTAAATTGCTGGTGACCAGATAAGTCAACCAGAAGGTCAAACCGGGCGTGTCCTGTCTGAGTAACGGAGGTCGGCTCTTCCCTGGATTCAACCGGAGAACTTTCTGTGTGCACTTCGTAAATATTGAGCTAAGCTGGTCAACTGTCAGTACTTAAGTAGCAGAAGCTTCCGTGGTCACATCCAGTCGTTGGAATTCTTGCTGTTCAAAGATGGGAACCGGCTCTGGAGTAGCGTTGAGTTTCTGGTGATCAGATAGGTCGACCGGGAGGTTGAATCAGGCCGGTTCTTCTTCTTCGACCGGCTGGAGTTTTTCCTCGTCAACCGGAATCTCTCGAACCTCTCCTTTGGATGCTTCATCAGTGATATCATCGGCTTCAATTTGTCTGTTTTCCGGAAGCTCTAGAAACAATTCATCGCCCCCCACAGTGCGGCCTTCAATCGTATCTTCGAATTCAATTTCCCTGTGGTCAAACTCCTGCTCATCCTCATCATCAGGAAGCTGCCTTTGCAATTCATCTCGATGTGCATTTTGACCCTCAACGATGTCCTCGAGTTCTATCGGTTTTTTTTTTCAACCTTCTGGTTCTTGGAGTTCTCGATCAACCACAGCGGAACGGAGTGGGTTGCTGCATTCGTCTTGTCGGCGTTTACTACAGTTGTAGACAGGCTCTGGAATCGCTGATCAATATCAAAGTCCAGCGGTTCCTTGTCCGAATTTTCCACATGAACACAGCAAAAAATTAATTTTAATATCACATCAAAGTGGATGCACTTCAATTGTGTCGAAAATATGGTGTAATATTACTTGCCAAAAAGGACAAAATTATCATTAATACAGTGCATGATCTGATATTACGTTGCTTTTTGTGGCCATAAAAATTACATGAGATTTTCGACATGATTGAAGTGCATCTTCTTGGATGTTATATTAAAATTTATTTTTTGCTGTGAACCCAAACGTTCTGACTGTCCAGTTTGTTAGTTTCCAGTTCTTCCGGTTAAACTAGGACAGCCGGTTAATTCTACCGAGATCTCAGAACAACTATGAACTCGTTCCAAACTCCTGGGAAGATCTTGAACCATTTCAACGAAAACTTCAGAACATTTGGAGAGTTCCATGGAATAAATAAAGTACCCAAAGCTTCCAGGAAGTTTATTGAACTTTTTCGAAGTAAGCTCTCTGACAAATTACTACGAAGTTCCCTAAGCTTTCCTGAGCTTCTATGAAGTTCCCCAAACTTCTTCGAAATTTGCTGACCTTCAACAAAGTTTACGGAACTTATAATAAGTTCCCTCAACTTCAACAAAGTTCTCAGCTCTTCTAAGAAACTTCTCTTTAGCTAAACTGCAAACAACTTCTGCAAAGTTCGCTAAACTACATTTTTTTCGAAATTTCCTAAACTTTAAAGAATTTCGATGATTTTCTGCGACGTTTCATGGAAGTCCTGCTAAGTTTCCTGGACTTCTACGGAATTCACTGACCATTCCATTAAGTCCAAGTCCATTAAGCTTCAACGAAGTAGCATGAAGCTAAAAGAAGATCCTCGAACATTATATGTTTCTTGCCCGGGAATGATATTTAAACTCGTGACAATAAGGGTGAGAGGCGTGAATTGGGCTTGTGCCCCTTGAATGGTACACCCAACTGAGAAATGTAAGATTCTATTGCAGATTCGCATGAAAAGCGACAGGAATTTTGTAATGCGCTCACCGGAAGGTATTTAAAATAATTTTGTAATTTTTGAGTTAGGTTATTTTTTGGATAAAGTTGTTTCCCCCTAATGCATTGCGTTCAGAAAATCATCTCGTGTTTATTTTACCCAACAATATGCATTCTGGAAAAACTTGCTTGTCACCGGCTACCGGCAACTCTCTTTGTCGTCTCAGCGGCTTCCGGTTTTCGATTTCCCCCCGATCCAGACTTCCCCAAACACTTTAATTACATTTGTAACGGTTGATTTGGCAACTTTTAGCGATTTTGCCAACTTTGCGTGCGAGTAGCTCGGATTTTCGCGATGCGCGAGCAAAATTTTGATACGCTGCTCTTCTTGCTTGGACGGCATTTTGACAACTGAAGAGTGAATTCCAAAATCAAAATAGGAGCAACATTCTACACACACACACCTTCAAAATGAGGGGTGTTCAGGTTTTTTAAATGCAAAATTGAAAGAAATACGTCAAGTTGATATTGACCAAATTTTGACCGTATCACCCTTTATCAAAGTTACCCGCATCATCAAAGATACCCCGTTTTACGGTACTTCTATGCTTTTACGCTGCCCCCATATCCCGATATCGCAACCAATTCTCACCAGTGATGCAAAATATCATGACACTCACTCGACACTCGTCACCGCATCAACCGACTATCACTGACATAAAGTTTTGTCACGCAGTGAGAGTTAAGACCCACGCACATTAGATCCGGATCGGACGCGTTGCGGCAAAGTGACAGCTAAATCTATTGTCTCACTGTCACATTTACGTCAACGCAACGCAAACGGATCTAATGTGGGTGGCCCTTTAGAGTCATGACAAACAACAATCACCAGTAATGGTCGCTGCTCACACGCTGCTGCTTTTCGACCACATGGACAAAAGGTCGAAGGGACAAAAGCTAAAATGGAGAAAAGGTCGAAATGGACGAAAATTCGAATGAACAGAAGGTCGCCATGGACAAAAATTCGAAGTGGACAAAAGTTTCCAACATCCATCAAAATTGAAAAAAATATTGATAAGAAATATCTCGCTCTGAGTTTAAAGGAACTTAATAAAAATACTTACTAAAAAAGGAATATATTCTAGAGAAAGGCAGTTATTTGTCTCTCAAATTGCCGTGAAAAGCACAGGAACTATTTGTTATCTTAATTTTCCAAAGAACTGACCATGATTTAAAAATGGAAACATATTTGAGAGTTAGCCACTCATGTTATCGTCCAAAAATTAGACCAGTTTATCCATATAGACCTTTTAACCATTTGTCGACCTTTTGTCCATTCGATCTTTTGTTCACTTCGACCTTCTGTTCATTTAAAATTATATTCATTTCAACCTTTTGTCCATTCGGACTTTTGTCCATTCGACCTTTTGTCTATTCGGCCTTTTGTCCATTTGACCACTTGTCCCTCTAAGTTCAGTTTGACTTTTTGTCCCTTCGAGCTTTTGTCCTTTCGACCTTCTGTCCTTTGACCTTATGTCCTTCCACCATTTGTCCTTCAGCTTTTTGTCCTACAAGCTTCAGGGTTTGATTTAGGAATTTACTGGAAGTAAATATTGGGAACTTTGTTTCGCCTAGATGTCTAAGAAAATTCGTAGAAAAGATTCATGGTCTTTCCTGACGTTTGAAGAAGGCCATTGATGCTTTAAGATCTTGATCGAATTGAGAGAATTTTGAACAATAATAATTAAGTATTTGCAAAAGGTTCATGGAACTTCGCGTTTTCAAGAAGTAAAGATAAGGGAACTTTGTAGATGTTTAAGGAATATTGGACCAATTTTTTCAACCCTCAGGATTTTTGAAAGTGCTGAGTACGGTGCTACGTGTAAGGTAAGTAAGAAAAACAACCTGCATTGCTCTAAAGACATGTGGATGTTCTAAAAGAAAATCGACACAAATCGTATTAAGGTGATTCCTTGCAAAGTCCGCAAATGGTCGGCACGTAGGCTATACATGCACTTCCAATCGAAATTTCAATTACACAAATCTCGGAAATCGGTGCCCAATTTCACCTCAAATTGCTACTTCATGTATGCTGCAGTGCAGCAAACGTGGAGTAACAATTTGAATGTTGCACGTGTCGTAGAAGCTGATATTTGTGCACTTAAAGGCTCAAAGTGGTTCCGAGAATAAGGATGTCACAGCGATTCACCTTAGTGTATTAGAATATGGAAAGGATGGTGATTCCTTGGTGACAAAACTTGAGACGTGATGAGATTGAATGGTGGAAACAGATCTATTATGATCCCTCAAATTGCAGCAGATCATGATAGTAAAAAAATGTATCAATCAATCAATCTGAAAATTATCACAATCTGCAATACAAACCAGCCACTACTCGAAGCGTGGAAAGCGAGAGTCATATATCCAATACATAAAAGGGTAAGAAACGTCACTTTCAATCGTCATAACTACGCACTTGTTCAAGTCAGAGTAGACATCTACATTAAGTAAAAACAACTGCCTATACTCACGTGCATATTTCTGCTTTCACCAGTTGTCGCGAATCCTCATGATTTACGACGTACATCCAGTTGCCTAGAGTAGCAAGAAAAGGCAGAAACAAACAGTCACATGAATCACTCAGATTGAGGGGGCGATAAGCTTCCACCCACCTTTGGTGTTGAGCGCCGCCTGAGGTGTAACGTACATCTCCCGCGTCTGACAGAGTTCTATCCGCCCGGCTGTGACTTGTCGCTTTTGGCGCGATCGAGTGACCGCTTCGTGATAGGCCGTCTCGTTCAACAGCGCTGCCACCGGTCGGAAGGGTGCCGGTTTCACTTCCAATTGTGGAGGCAACTTGAACGGCGACGGAGACGGGTGTGTGCCTTGTTGGGGTCCTGCCACTCGATGGTAGCTGAACCCGTTGGCTGGATTCTGCTTTTCGGTGAGATCTCGTGCGAAACGTTTCAACCATTCGGCTGGACTGAATTGCGTCACCGGAGGTGGATAGAAATAGCCGCTAGACGAGGTGGAGGACGTCTGAGATCTTTGAGTCACTGGAGGCCTCACGTAGGTGTGGTAGTTGAACGAATATTGTGGCTTCGGGATGTAGATGGGCTGGGGCACTGGCACCGGTGGCGGTTTCTGGTCATATGCAACGGTGTTGTCATCCTGTTGGTAGTGCTGCTGCTGCTGTTTGGGTAGGTCATAGTTGTAGCCTTGGTATGGGGCAGGGGAGTTATGAGATGATGACGATGGTTGAGGCCCGTAGCTACTGGTTTGCATAGAGGGACCATAAAAATGTTGGTAATGCTGATGTTGCTGATGCTGATCTTGTTCCCATTCGCTGTGCGCGTTGAAGTCAACACGTTCTTCGTTGGCCAAGATCCGATGATAGCCCAGTTGCTCCACCAGGTGCTGAATCAAGTGGCTATAAAATTTGGGAACGGTTAAATATTTTTACTTTGCTTATCTTGTTCGAGCGCACACGAGTTAGGAAACCTCAGTTGCGCAAAGCTCGTGAAATAAGTCAGGAGATGCTCAAATCAAATGCACACGAAGACAACTACGCTAATTATAAAATGTTGATTACTTTCCGTTACTTTTGGATTACATAAACAAACAAACAAAAACTCATAAGCCGTTCGTAACCCGTCGTCACTAGGTCGAATTCCTCCACGTGATGTCAAGAACTAATGAGTCATGGTATCACGTCTCGTCCCAACAATGAATCATCAACATTCTGTCTCTGAATGGAACGCATCACTCGATGACATTGCCAAAATTTAAAATCAAATTTACTCACGCTGGATATTCTAGATTCTGCTCACAAAACGTTTTACCCGGGGAAGCACACTTCGGCATCATTCCGGGTTGAGCCGGAACAAAAGTGCACGGTGCCTGTCCGTAGAGACCACACTGTTTTTGAGTTTGGTGCTGTTGCTGCTGCTGCTGCTGCTGTGGGGGTGAAGCCGATATCAGCTGAAGCACGCAAAGCTATTTAAATTAAATTAGATTAATAAGAAATGGTTTTGAAATCGCCTCATTCATCTGTCAGTCATAAAAAAAACGAGCATAAGCTTACAAGTGCCGCCGTTATGCTGCTACTGTCGGTGATCATCATACTTTATTCGCGTGCCGGTCGCACGATCTCTCTCAGCTATCCCGGAACAGTTGATTCAAGTGAAACAGTTCACACTGTAATGGATCGAATTCTTGCCAGATTCCAGCGGGTTAGATATCTCGCTGATTGATGCTGCTTTCAGATTAACAAATTGCAAACATGTAGCACAAACAGCTGATGATACGTATTCTCCCGTAGTCTCATGCTTTGAAGATGATGATACCTAATGAGCACTTATATCGTGCGTTGTTAACACGTGCCGGCTGGGAATGCATAAAAAATGAAAAATGCAAAAATAAATTAGATTATGAATAACAACAAAATGATAACTGTAAAATGAAGAATTTAGATCAGGCTCGCATTTATCTAATATTTTTATACGCACGCAGGCGGAATAATTATGAGGCATATTAATATTTAGACTAGCATGAAAAGTGGAATACATACATTTAGTCAAATGCAAAAAGTCGAATACAGGTATACCTCGATATAACGTAACTGTCACTTTTGACTTTCTTCGCCGATTTCTCGCAAACGATCATTCAAACAAGCAAAGTAATAAAATTATCGGACAGGTGAGATATTCTCCCTTATGTATATTGGTAATATTAATGTGTATGATTAAATTTTTATTAACGAGATATTGACAATGGAAGTCAAAAATTACAGTTTCTTTATATCGAGGTATACCTGTACGAACAACCAGTTGAGTGAAAGTTGCACATTACGGCGCACAGTGGGACGAAATCAATAGTGGGACATTTGCGACGAAACTGTTGAGTGTAGCACTTTGATGTCTTCTAAAATGTTTCTTATATTTTAAATACTTTATTGCGGTGGTGATTTTTTTTTTTTGCTTAAGATGGGAATACACTAAGATAAAAAAAAAACTTTTTCATGTCGTGTTGAAATTGATGATTATCTATGGAAACATTGTACATGAAGTCATTTTAAGGAATTTTGTCGAAGACGTCAATATTCCTTCTCTCAAGTGGATGAAGTTATAGGGTGAAAATTGAGTACTAACGGTAGTATCCCCTTAAAAATCGTTTGTTTTGCCACAACTTTTTAGTTTGAATTTTACAATTTTTTCGATGTTCTACAAAGTTGTAAGTGCTTTAAAATTGAACATTTTTGCTGCAAAGAACAAATCGCTATCTCTTTGTTTTAAGGATTTAATTCCCTTTTTATATGTTTCTGACGCTATCTGTAAGAGGGTGTATCTTGCATGTTGGAAGATATTAGCAGCTAATCTCAACGTTATTTTGTTCAGCATCTTCTAGTTTACTGTTACAAATACAATTCATAGGGAGATCCAAAGGGATGCCAAATGAATTGTCTACTATAGTACCTCAATGTTTTGTTACGTTTTGCTGTTTTCATGACCATTTTATCCAAGAAACATTACATTAGAGTAGGTTTCCCACTGCTCTTTCAATGCTTATTCTGATCCTCAACAACTGGGTAAAATTTGAACCGATTTGTTAATAATCTCGATTAGTGGAAGCGGAATTTTGAATTTTGTATGGGAAACGGAACGATCCTATTTATTTGCTTACTCAAAATATTGCTCCCAAAACTCGGACTTAGATTTAGAATACTATAACAAACAACTTTGTCGAAGCTACAACCCACTTTAATGTAAATACTTGGAAAAATGGTCATGAAAATAGCAAAACGTTATAAAACATTGAGCTACTATATTAGAAAATTCATTAGACATCCCCTTGGATCCCTATTGTATATGTAACAATAGACTAGAAGATGCTGAACGAAATTACGTCGAGTTTAGCTGTTAATACCTGCTAACCTGCAAGATACCCTCCCTTAAAGTTAGTATTGAAAAATTATTATTGCGTATGTAAATCCTTTACAGCGATTTGCTTCATTGAGCGAAAATGTACATTTTCAGAGCACTTACAACTTTGTAGAACATTGAAAAAATTGAAAAATTCAAACTAAAAAGTTATGGTAAAAACGGTTTTTAAGAGGGTACTAGCGTTAGTACTCAATTTCCACCCTATAACTTTGTTCACTTGAGAGATAGAAAATGGACGTCTTGGACAAAGTTTCTTAAAATGACTTCAACTACAATGTTTCCATGGATATTCATCAATTTCAACAAGACATAAAAAAGTTATTTGTTTTTATCTTAGTGTATACCCCCCTTAATCAAAAAGGTTCACTTCTCAATTAAAGAACTTAAAAAATGAAGACTCATGATGATTCTGATGATACTGATATTGTTTCTCACCAGCTGATTGGGGGCTTGGCAGATCAGGTTAGTTTCACGCACCCATTTACAAATTGTAGATGTCTTCATAGTACGTAAACAATGGGTCATCCGTTGATGGTGCAACTACTTTTCTGCATCACAAAACAGGTTTTTGTTCGACGACATTTGGACCTCAAAACCAGCCAATCGCTACATTTGAATGAGGCGTATTGGCGAAGTGCTTATTATTTAATAAAATTTTAATAATTACAATTAATTCAGATCATACCTACAAGTCTTCAAAAGCTAGACTTGTGCACATCATGAGCTGTTTTTCTCTGTTTGTATTTGAACCTTACACTGGCGCAGAGGCAAGCCGTATATCATTTTAAACAGCGTCACTCAATTTGGATTTTTCTTTTTTTTTTAATATTCTTCAATCATCATTATTATTATACAAATACATTCACACACTAGCCATCCGAAAATTTATAGCTATAGTATTTATTTCCTGATCGAATAACATCGAAAATTTCCTGGGTAAAACATTTTCACTGTATTTACTTACTTATTTTCTTAGTATCATTTCACAATTACGTAATTAATAAAAACTGCTGTTCAGATCTCTGCGTGATCAAAATAAAACATCAAGAAAATCTTAGTAATTTACATTCAATTCCACTACCTTATTTGCTTATCCATGACAGATACGCGAGTTAGCAATCGAGCTACCTGGACTTGGACAGTGAAGATTGCTGACGGACACATTGGCGCAAGTTAGCAACGGAGCAGCCCAAACGGGGACAGTGAAGAATGCTGACGACAACTTTAGAGCGGATGACAACGATCGACGCAACTTGGCAGTTTACGGCGTGGAGCACCAGCAGCGAAAAAGTGCAAGGAGAGCAGTGTGAACAGTAGTTATAATCGATTATCAAATAAAGTTCAGTTCGTTTTAGGCTAGCGTGTAGTTAAGTTGTATTTTTTTAAAAAGGTTATCACGTCCGTGAAATCTTAACTCGCGTATTTCGTATACAATGTACAGACTTTTCCGTGTCTTGTACTAATACTCGAGTACAAGACACTGAAGAAGTCTGCACATTGTAGACGAAATACACGTATCTGTCAAGGATAAGCAAATAAGGTAGTGGAATTAAATGGAAATAACTAATCTTTCTCCCTCTCTTTATACAGGTATTCCAACAAAGACGCCCACATTCATCAGAATTAACCAAGAAAATCACTTCGACTCCACTTCTTTGCTAGCGAAGGTAAAAGAATTATTGATCAAGCGTTGCCAGATGTATTTCCTCTAACAATGAATATAAGATTACTAAAACTAAGAAATACGAAGCTTGACTCCATAACTTAAATGAATGGAGGTATTTAATGGTGAATAAATATCAAAATTTATTCAGTTTTGAACTAAAAGGACCATTTTTGGAACTTAAACGTTCCAATTAAAAACTAAAAAATTGAATTGAACACAAACTGCGGAGAGTGTACGTAGCCTGTCATTCGCCTTCCCGCTCAGGGAACAGAATTTTATTCTGCGCGGTCTGGCAGTTTGAATTTGTTGTGTACGACATTTCTATGCACTAGATAAAGTGACGTCACATTTGTTGTTTTTTGAAAAGAGAAGGAATAAAAAAGATAGTAAGATTTTTCTCACCATACCAGTTGATATTTGGTTTTGGCATGGAATTTGCATAATTGACGATTTTGGAAATTATTACATGATTTTAAAATGGCGTATTTGACAATTTTCAATAAATTGTAGTGCGAAAACGTCACTTTTGATCGAAATGATGTCTGAGAAAAAGTTGTTGAGAGAAGTAAAACAAAATATGCACGGTATTTTTTTTTTTGTAATTTTGAGTTAACATTCAAAAAAATTGTTAAAATCTCCGAGGGAGCTTTTGTTTTGGTGTGGTTTGCTCTGCGTGCTCGTTGAGTATGTAGAAAGAAGATTGATGACGATTCTGAAGATTTCCTGTAAAAAAATTATTAGTGATGCAAGCAGATGAGAGAAATGAAAGAAGATTTGTCGGAGATTGATTTGCTAGTGTGAGATTTTTCGAGCATCTAGAATTGAGAGTTAGATGTGACGCCCCCTCGAAAATCTCAGATATCATAAGAAGTAGGAGAATTTACGTATTCTCGTCAATCTAAGCAGTGTCCGTACTCCCGTTAGCAATTTCTCAGAGTCTCACACACAAACACGCACACACACATACACACACACACACACACACACACACACACACACACACACACACACACACACACACACACACACACACACACACACACACACACACACACACACACACACACACACACACACACACACACACACACACACACACACACACACACACACACACACACACACACACACACACACACACACACACACACACACACACACACACACACACACACACACACACACACACACACACACACACACACACACACACACACACACACACACACACACATACATACATACACACACACACACACTCACACACACACACACACACACACACACACACACACACACACACATACACACACACACACACACACACACACACACACACACACACACACACACACACACATACACACAGACACACACACACAGGCAGAGAGAAGCCGGAAGAGTACGGAAAGTTGTGAGAGTGGAGTCATTGGCTAAGTGGCAACAGGAGTGGAACACGACGGAGAACGGTAGATGGACACATAGACTAATACCGATTCTTTCGACCTGGGTGAACAGAAAACACGGAGAAGTCAATTTCCACCTAACGCAGTTCCTGTCTGGCCACGGCTGCTTCAGGAAATACCTGCATCGGTTCGGACACGCAGCGTCACCCCTCTGTCCGGAGTGTGGCAACGTCGATGAAACGCCGGAGCATGTGGTCTTTGACTGTCCAAGGTTCGAGGCAGTGCGAACGGAGATGCCCGTCCTTAACGTGGAGAATGTCGTTGATGAAATGTGTCGAGAGGAGGACTCTTGGAATGCCGTCAGC